ATGTTAAAATTTTTTGAAAAATATTTTTAAAAGACGGTCAAGATAACCTTAAATACTTATACAATTTAGCACAAAAATGCTTATGTTTTATTTTATAAGAAATCAGTAATAATCACTAAYCATTTCTATGTTTTATTTAAATTTTTTATCAATTTACTACAAATCAATTTTTATAGGTTTCTCGTTTTAATTATTATAAACTTCTTAAATTTTCAGTTGAATATGGTTTGCATGCTCAATCTATGGACCATGGGCAATCAGGCGAAACTGATGATGAAGGAATTGAAAGAGATTCTGCTGAATGTGAAGAAATATCACGAAATAATTTTGCTACTTTTGATGATGTATTAGAGGTAAATATTAATTTTACCAATAAATAACTATTATTTAATTTTCTTTAAAATTGCCCAAGATTTTGAAATTTGAGAAACAACAGTTGCCTGTTTTCGGAGTTTTTAATATTAGAAATAAATATTATTTTATGGAAATCTGTTTTGTTATATTAAAAATATTATTCTTAATTTCATAAAGAATTTACTTTAAATAGGTACTTAATAATTATAAAAATAGTAAAAAGTTAATATTAATTACTAATTCAAGATTTTCCTTGCAAAAAATTGTATAGTTATAGTAGTTGCTTGCTAATTTGTATCATGAGTTGATTCTAGTATATTTGTATAGTTGGTAACATCATGTATATTACATTGATATACCTACTCAAATTTATTCTTTAAAAATCTATTTTTATATTAATTCCTTAGTTGTTAAAGATGTGTAAAGACTAAAGACCAACTCTATGAAAGTGTATTTAGAGCATATTTATTCTTAATATTCCTTACTTTTTTTATTTTTTATTAACATAATGGCTTCAATTACTAGGATTATTAGCCTATAATTACAAAATGATAGTTATACAATATAAAAGTTGACGTTGTCTTTATAGATTATCTTATTATTATTATTATACAATGTAAAATATTCTAATATTTGCAGTTTTTTATCTATATCTATTTGTTTGAAAAATTTAAAAATGTTGCCGAAGTTATGTTGATTGAGAGCTTCTTCGATTGACCTTGGATTATTGAGAATTCCTTACTTTTATTGATATATTTTTGGTAATGCTAAAATGTTTATTCTAGGAATGCAGTAGACATATAGGTGTGTCAGGATTGGGTTCTGAAACTCATTATAAAGCAGTATGCAGAGCATTAGTGGCAGAAGCTTTAGAGCTTTCATCATTTTTAGATAAATTATCTGATGGAACTGTCAGTTTAAGACACAGAAATTCTACTTCAGCTGAATTAAGTACATTGGATTACAGTGATTGGGTAAGCTATTAAGTATCTAATGAACATTCATTATTGTAGATTTTTATGCATCAACTAATGGTCATCCTAAAAGTATAATTTTATTAGCCTATGTTAAATAGTAGAGCGTTGATCCTTAATATTTTTGTTCACATAATTAAGTTTAATTGTGAATAATTTCTACTGCATTATGGCTTTAGGAAGTGAATTTGTAAGTTTTTATTATTTATATTTATTATGGCATCAAAACTAACACATTTGTTGTGTTACTTTTTGTTAGCCCAACCGCAGAAAGTGGAGTATTTTACAAGTATGTCTAGATTACATTATAATATAATACAACAAATTACATTTTATCATAGCTCAAAATAATAATTTTGATTTAAAAGTTATATTWATATATACTTATATTATAATTTTTATGAGGAATATTGTTGTTTGTTCTACATTTGAACTTAGTTGAGATATTCGACTTTTATACATGGTATACATTTTAATAGTTTTACTAACATATTATGTAAATTAAATAACAGATATGAATTACTGTAGGTTTTGGAGTCTTATACTATTTAAAATATTTAAATGTTTTGCATAATTGACAATCAAAATAATATTTAAAAAAAAAAATTGTAGGCACGTTTATGGATACAATTAATACGAGAATTACGGCGTGGGGTTCAGTTAAAAAAAGTTGATCAAAGATCTCATACTAGAGATGGATTTGTCGAATATGCATTAACCCCTTATGAAATGTTAATGGATGACATAAGGTCTAGAAGATATACTTTAAAAAGAGTTACCCCTCCAGAAATTCCTGCCAGAATTCAAAGAGATGCTCATGATGCAATACTTGAATTTATTAGATCCAGACCACCATTAAAAAGCGTGAGTAGATTTTAATAATTATGGTTAGTCAATATATATATTATGTATCATAATATTATATTTACATATTATATAATTCTATAATATTTATTGATGATCAACATATTTGTAATTTTATTACATTTTAATGGAGTCTATTGTGCAATCTATTGATGTATTGAATTTTTGTGTTTTCATTATTTTTGATTTTTAACTAGGTGTGTTTGAAACTACTAAACACTTTTATAAATATATAATACACGATGAAACTATACTGTCTGTTTGGCAATAACTATAATTTTATATACAAATAAAGGACTTGTACAAAAAAACAAAAATAAAAATATTATAATACATATTAGAAGACTTGAAGAAGTATTGARAAAAATAAAAAAATAAATTCAAATGGAGATAATAAAAAATAAATCTCACTTAGATGTTCTAAAAACAAATTCCAAATGTTTTATTAATTTTATGCAGCAAATAATTTGCTTACATTCACTGATTTAAATGGTATAGAACCCTATCACTGTGAAATCATAAAGCTTGTGTGGCTTATTATATTATTATATTATATGCCTACAATTTTAGATAGTAGAATTTTTGACAAGTTTCAAGTATTTTATTCCCATCAAATATTGTTAAACTAGTTTTAAATTAATTTTTTTTTTAAGTTATACATATGTAAATATAAATATATATATATATACATCAATATTTAATAATATTAGTGCATTTTATATTTGTAAAGTTTTGTGTACATTTTTAGAACTCTATTGTATTTAAATTTGTAAATAGTGTTGTGTCTGGTGACCTTGTTTCAACAAATATTTAGTTATTGGTTAAACCTTTCTTATTTAGAAACTATTACTATAACATTCCTAATTTAATAAATGTTAATATGGTAATTTTAAAATCATCAGAGTGTCCATCCGAGGATTTACCCATTGAGATATCTCCTGAGATAATAAATATTGTATCATAAATCTGTTTTTTAATTAGACTTTCACAGACAAGGACTATATGAATTTTATTTTTTAATCTAAATTTTTTGGTAAAAAAGTTAAAAAAAAAATTTATTTCTTAATTTTTGAAAAAAATAAAGATACCTATTTTATAGAGTTTATTTTTCTGTAAATGTTGACCTTTCAACATTTTATTTTCAYAAATCTCTCGATTTTTAATAATTTTATTAGTTAATAGTTAAAACGGTAAAAAATTGTTTTTATCTGGGCGGCGAGTCTCTCTCAACGACTATTGGGTATATCCTCACGGAATACTCTCTATTGTTCTAAGAAAAAGTGAACTAAATCTAAATTATATACTATAATAACAATGTTTCTTATATTATATTGCGGTATATTTAATTGGAAAAAAATTAAAATGTACTTTCATTTTTGTTGGTGTCTATATTAATACATATTATGAATAAAACAAATAATAATTGTTAGATTTATATTTAGTGCAATTAAAACTCTCAATAAGCTCAATATTTAAAATGTTTTATCCTTTTGATAAACCTAACATAACTTGCTCATATTTGTATTTGCAAGAAGTTTTAATGTTAAATAATGTATTTAAAATTTTTTCAATCTACATTGTCACTTGAATATTAATTATAAATCATAAATTGTTATTTTACATACTTGAATATTCATACTTTTTTCAGGCCGCTGCAAGAAAACTAGCTCCTCGTCGACAAGATAAATTATCTCCAAGGGAACATCTATTGGAATGTATAAAAAGTGGAAATGTCAAGTTGCGTTCTACTTCATTAAGTAAGCTCATTGAATTTTAAAATTAATGTAATATTTTTTTGTTATTTTTAAATATTGTTTATCATACTGTTATTTATTAGCTTATGAACTATTCAGTTTTGTTCTATAATAGGTGCTGAATTTTAATTTCGATTTTTTTTTTTTTACTTAGAAAGCCCTTTCCGTAATATAAAATCATCAAGATCAATGTCAAGTCCACCTAACCGTTCCAATAAATCAAAAAGTAATATATTTTATTTGTTCAATAATTTAATGATTCTAAACAAATACATTTTAAATATTTGTTTAGTTCACTATGACAATTCATCTATGAACAAYTCAGRAGAAGAATATATGCCAAACCAATCCTTAAAAAGCATGCTTGATCCAAATAAAGAACGCAAACTTATAAAAGTAGATTTTTCTGCATTAGCACGTTTAGTGGTATGTCAATATGATAACATTATTTTGTTTAAGTTTGTTGTTTATATTATGTATTTTGTATATTTAATTTTCAGAGTTCTGATTCTGAAGATGATTTTGATGATGATGATGAAAATAATAAATTTAAGACTACTACAGTGGAAAACACTGAAGAATCTACATATTTGGGCGTGTCCACTCAAGGTAGTGATTCCCAACCAAACAACTGTGATTTGCACTTTCGATTAAAAACATTATCACCAACCTCATCCTGTGTGATATCTTAAAATCTGTCTTGCCTTAAGTTCTTGAAACATTCCTAGTTCTTTTATGTTTATTTAAATCTTTGTTTTTTTTTTGTTTTTTATTATTTCATCATTTTATTGTTTATGTCAAAACCATTTAACCATTGTGATTTTGTGTTGTGGACTATTCATGTACCGCCCAGCCATATTTTCAATATTATAAGACATTTTAAACTACTTAATATTTTAAATAAAATCTTTCATTTAGTCTGAATAATAAATAGTAAGATATATTATAATTCCAAATAAGAAAAAACAAATATTGTTATAATTAAATCTTATATTATTATTCACACATATCTTAAAAAATGTTTATAATTGTTGTATTATATTTTGTACATAAATATGAGGTGATTGACATATGAAATTAAGGATTATTTTTTTCTAATTAATTTACTATCCACATTCATTATTTAGACTGCACCACAATCAACACTTTTGCTTCATCGGTCTTGGTAATTTATGTTTATGATTTTTTTTTGTTTTGTTTTTGTAAATATTTTATTTAGGAACAGCATTTTATTTTGTAGAATTTAACATAATGTTGAAACTTAAAAGACCAGCTGTTATGTATATTMTAAACAGAATAATATAAAATTATGTGTACAAAATTCTGGTAAGTAATTGAATATTATCATTTTGGGTAAAATTCTACTTGATCGCAAAATAAATCTTAAGATTTTTTCTATGCTTGCTATAATAACATTTAACTTTATACTAATACTCGTCTTATATTCTAAATGCATTGTTATTTATGTTTTTAAAAATCCTTGGAATAATAATAAGTAACTAAATCTTTGTTTCAAAATTTAATAAATCAACATAACTTATGTAACTTAAACAAATTAGTTTTTTTTTATTCTTGTTACAACTTTACTGTAATCATAGTGAACAAATTGGCATATCATTAACAATAAATAATAACATTAATGTTTTAATGTCTTACAAATGCTATTAGATGTTTATTATATTCCATAATGTTAAACAATTKAATTTTACAATACAAATTTTTATAATGATTCACATTTTAATTAATTTGGTTAATTGTTAACTGGTTACTTAATAATTAATATTGAATGTAGTAATGTTTTTATTAATATATAGCTTATTAATTGGGAACAAGCAAATAATTAATTAAGCAATTGAATATTTAAAATTTAAATAAATATTTGATATTTTGTTGTTTGTGGCATAACATATTAATAAAATGTACTATTGTTTGATACTGATATTGTTGATTGTAGGAAGAGAAGAAAAACATGGACCTACAGACTCAAAATCCAATAAAAATATCCATGCTATTAGAAAACAGCAACGAAGGCATACTATTGCTGATCAATCATCTCTCTCTTTTATCAAACCAATGGGTGGATTGTGGAAGCAATCTCGTAGACAATCTATGTACAAAAACACTTTACCTACTGTAAGTGGTTCCCCTCCTGTCTTTGTAGTTTAAATTGAATGTCGTGGATGATAAAAGTTATTTTACAACAACATGCATATTGCAAAATTATTTTCATAGTCTATACTATACAATTTATTAATCATATTACTTCAAAATTGATATTTGCAAACAAGTTAAAGGTTTTTCTTATTCATCAGTATTAAGAGAACATAAAACCTGCATATTTTATCTCCATCCTACTAATTGTCAAATGCATAACAGAAAATTTGGATTCGGTAAAAATAATTGTGTCAATTTTTTAATATTTAATTTCAAGTTTAAAAGAAAGTMAAAATCTTCAAGATGAAATGATATACTTTGATAATAAACTTTGGTTTAATATGATTTTATGATAAATAACAGCTTACTTAGAAAATGTTTAGTTTTGTTAATTTACCTATATTAAGTAAATTAAGTATAATGGATTGTTTTAATCTTTWACATTAATATATATTTTTATAGAGTGATTGTTTGACCTTGACTTTGCAAGAGCTCATACATATTCGTAGTGTGCTTACTAAAGCAGAGATAGAAAGTTTACCAGTTGAAGGAAATTTTAAAGAAGATGTTGAAAATCGAAAAGTACTTATTATTAATTTTATAAAGAAAGGTTTGAAGTGGGTAAGAAAATACCTTCTTTGTTTTAGGTTTGTTTTTTATGTATGAAAACCAGATTTGGAATTTTTGGACCCTGGGGACAAGAATGCAAAATGTGCCAACGTACAGTGTGTTCAAAATGTTGTACCAAGGTAATTTATCTTAAGTAAATTTATACAGAATTTGACTTRATTGTTAAATAAATATGAATTGTTATAATATAGATGCGTATGCCAACTGATCATTTGTCCCAAATCCCGGTTGTAGCACTAAGTCCAAATGTAGCGATATCTGAACAAAATCCTTGGTGGTCAAAGAGTAGTTGGGGCAGTGCTCCATCTAGTCCTCAAAAAACAATTGGCTGTCCCAATAACAGTATGTCTGCAAGTTATCATGGTTCATCTACAGCCACACAGAACATTACTCGGTAATGACCTCTTACTGAAACCCATAATTACAGAAAATTATTCAAATTTTTTTTTATAAATACTTGATGTTTTAGCACCAAATATAGTGCACAAATGGCTGTTTGCTTGGATTGTAAGACAATGGTATTGCAAGAAATCAAAACGTCTAGAGTGAATCGTTCAAATTTACTTCGCCATTTAACACTTGACTTGTCATCTGTTTATTAGTCAATTGCACGTTGATATGTATTCCTTTCATAGTCACTTAACATTCYATTGTTAATCGATTGCTAAATGTTATTTAAAATTGTAGTATTAATTTACTTAGTGTATATTTACTATAACTCATGATAATTGTATTGAACGCCTAATTCAATGACTGAAAGTCATTTCTATTTGATAGTTGTATTTAATTAATTGAAATTAAATTAATAATCACCATTGTAGCACAAATGAAACATATATTGTATAATTTTTAATTGTATTGTAAAAAAATAATTGATCATATTRTACGAGTCATATATTTTGTTTTTTAGAATTAGTAATAATTTTGATTATTGTTGCAATTTATTTTTTGATATTGCTACTGTAGTTATCCTCGAATCTCAGTAGATTTGTCTCTGATTGTTTAGATATTCATCTTAAATGTTAATTACTGTAATTGTAAATGAAAAGATCGATGTTGAAATTTAAAATTTTAAACTTATTATGTATTGCAATATATTTTTTTGACAGTTATTTTGTTTTAAAATTGATTATAAAGTCTTATGGACTCGTGGCTTTRGATTAGGTACCTATAGGGCCGGTGCTACCTTTTTTGAGGCTCTGAGCAAAACTTATTCAACCAATAACCATAGTCATGTATAGCCTATAACCCAGGGATAACCAACTTGTAGCTGCGTCTTATTAAAAAAAAAAAATACAGTATTTACTTATTAACCATAAAACYAAAAATTATAATATGTATATATAGACATTTTGGCACTTGGTACCATTATATTTATCCATGTGGCTCATGAATCTACTCATGTTGGCCACCCCTTGTCCTCTTCTATAGCCTACATCAGAGGTTCTCAAACTTTTCAGGCCAGGCCCCCCCTTTTAGTTAACCCCAGACCTGAGCCCCCCCTCATAAAAATAATTTTAATAGTCATGTTTAGAGTAAAAAAATGTTAAAAACAAACAACAAATATTGATATTAATATTACAAATTTATTTTAAAATAAATGTATTTTTTATAAAATATTTTAATTAATAGGCCAATTTTAATGTGATGGGTGGGCTTGTTTTTGTCTTGTGCCCCACACTTTGAGAACCTCTGGCCTATATGATTTCCGTTTAAAATATCTTTTAATATAAATTTAAGCGCAAAGGCCTGGACAAATCCCCCCCCCCTGGATACCGACGTTTCTGATAGCTAAAATAGTTATCTCCAAAACATACTCATTTATTATTGAGTAGAATAAGAATAATAAGATCATTGAMTCTCGTAATTCAATCTTTGGCAACGGTTATTGATTAACAAGAAAACATTATTATTCATTACAGCTAACCTGACATGTAGTAGTATGTACTAAGTATTAGATTAACGAAAAATTATGGAAATTAACCTCTTCAATTTTAATGAAATAGAATATGTGTGGATGTGGGCAATGCATCTAATTGGATTAATTATTAATTTTCTCTTAGGTTACCAGTATTAAAACACAAATTGTGTAATCCCATTTTTTATTCATTGAGGGTGAAATGTTTTTACAAGGCTTGCCTACATATAGCGTCATACTAAWAATTATAAAAAATATAGTAGTTACAGAACACATAGGAGATCGGAGACCACTTACCCTAGCAAATGCCAGAGTCTAGGGCTTGTGTTTGCCTACAAAGTGCTACAATTTTTTTTCCTATTTTTCAACTCATGATTACGACCTACGAAGGTCTACCGAGTAACWAGAATCTGCCACTGCCGTGCACACYCTTTTCACACGCTGGTCTGAGCCCACTATACTGCTGAAAGGACCTCTTATTATATTAACCAAACAATTGATATGAATTTGAAACAAATTGGACACAGCAAGTAATTATAAAAAATGTCAACTGCTATAAAGGAACTAGTTTCAACAATAGTTATAATTTATTAATACATATTTTATGTTAGTATAATTATTAATTACCACAGAAATACAATAAACTCTTAATTAACTCTCATCATAATCATTATATTAAAWAAAGCTCTTGGGCGTTCACAATTTTTAAAAAAAAAACAGTTATTAAACAAAATGTATAAAATCAACATTGTTTTAATTAATCAAACACAGTACAAATGTTTAAGCATTAGAATTATTGTAATTATTGGATGTCGACCAAATTCTAATTACATTGAAAGAAATAACATATTTTATAATCTGCAGAGGATTCTTGTTCATGAAGATATTCAACGCTTTCTTTCGACTTTTTGAGCTTTTTTCTTCTTTGCGTCTTTTTTTTCTTGTGCCAATTGCTTTTGTTTTTCTCTGTAAAGTGTGATTGCGATTTTAWATAACATGGTCGATTGTAATGATGATAACAATTTTTTTTAGAGACATGCTATCTGTGTCCTAAAACACAATGAAAAAAAGTGAGGGAAGAAGTCATCTATAGTAATAGCATTACCTTTTGTTCATACAATTTACTAGTAAATATCTATAATGTGAATAATATTATGTGCATAATTAACTATTGTAATGCATTAGTAGTAATCACCATTAATCATTAAGGAGGTCTCTTCACCAATTCATTTTTAAACACCGTAGAAAATATTCAACGATTGTTCGAGTAATTAAATCAGATATAAAGGGGTTGGGATGAGAGGGAAGTATATAAAAAAAATTGTTCATTATAGGTACATTTTAGCTTTTTCGTTAATAGTTTCAATTTTTATATTTGTAGAATGTAGAGCAAAATTGGATATATAAGGAGAGGTGAGAGTAATTGAAAGTAGGATTTTGTTTTAAAATGTTTGAATTTTGTTTGGGCTMGATTTGAGAGAAGTGAAACCCTAATTGAATGTAAAGTAGTATAGTACTATACTATTACTATCGAGAATTATTCTTTCAAACATTTTTATAAAAAGGTGCTTAGCAGGATTACCAGCATTTTTATCTTTATCATGATTATTTAATCATATATAATATAWTATAATATTAATCAAAATTATACCTGTCTTCTTTATCTTTTTCTTTTTTACGTAWACTTTGTTCTTTAGCCCTTTCTCTCTGTTCTTTTTTTAAAGCTAATACAGAACTAACATTGGTATTATGTTCTATATCTAAATCGTCACATTCTTCTTCTTCTGAATTTGCTTCTTTCTAAAACAAACAAATTAATATAAACACATTTTATGCAATAAGTTTTAC